AAAAATTCAGTAGCTGAGATTGACTCTGCTGCTTTATCATCTTTAAAGGTTTAAAGATTTTATCTGTCTACTGAAAAGAATTACGGAAATGTACTTCTGTTGACTTTAGTGGAGAACTTTATTCCCTTTGGATACTGAGATATGGTTTTTTCTCTTATGTTTTAGGCGTGTAATGGAAACAAATTTTGAGCAGATCTAAGTGTTCTTTTCTTTGTGTCAGTTCTTAGTAGCTTCTGCTTTCATAAGTTTGGCAATACAGAAGCCTTTAGTATGAGAGACACAGAGAAAACACTTTTGAAAACTTAAAATTTCCCACTGCAACCTCTCTTTTTGAGGTTATCTTTAAGACAGTTTTCTTATCAGCACATTACTAACTTGTTCTTTTCTTTTGTGAGTAATAAGATAATACTGTGCCTAGGTAAAACTCCTTTTTTATAGGCTTGCATTTTGCTTTCTTAACTAAACATCCATTTGAGACACTGAACAGATACAAACCTTCCCATATGGTACTTAAGATAATTTGGTTTTCAGCTTTCTCAATTCTGTAATGATTTAATTTTCCTGTTTAGCTCTGAAGAACATCATGAATAGTAAATTGTCTAATTAATTAAATTACACTTACAATATAAAAATGTGCAAAGGCTGTTCCTCCTTAACTTCAAGTATATTTAAGATACTGGCATTTCCAAGAGTGAATGTTTCCGAAGTAGGTAAAGTTTTCTTTTTAAATCATACTGCATTTGTAGTTACCAGATGTCTTTCAGTCCCTCTGCTGAATTTCTGAGGGCATCAGCTCTAAGAAATCACAGAACGTTAGTGGTTGGAAGGGACCTTGAAAGAAATATTTTAAATGTTGCTTTTTTTTTTTCCTTAATAGTTTCCAAAAGGTAAGAAAGTATTGATGTTTGGAAACTTCTCTCTTCTTTGACTATTTTGATGTGATTGTTTCTTTACTTAGCTATAGTACTATTTTCTTTATATAAAGGCATTTTCTTTATATAAAGGCTTTGCAAGACTTAATGTAAGCATAGAATTAATTGCTGTCCTTTGATAGCAGATTTAATGCTTATTTTCTTTTTGTGGATTACCTATGGAATATGCCTTTAGAATTACATCTCCTGAATTTGTACGTTCTTTATGCTGACTCAGTTATCTTTTCAGAGTGTTTAGCTCTAACACCTGAACACCTTTCAAGGGTCAGATGCAATGTTCACTTGGTCTTGCATCCTACTTTGAGTACCTCATAGGTACTGAGGAAAAACTAGAAAAGCAAAACTAATGTAGAATGGTATTTCCTATACTGTAGTGTTCCAGAGTTTAGGTTTGTGGCTTTTAGAGAGGATATCTGCCATCTCTGACCCTTCATGGGCATTTCTTACTGTGTCCAGCTTGAGCCTCCAGCACAAGGAGGACGTGGACCTGTTGGAGTGTGTTCAGCAGAGAGCCACAAAAATGATCAGAGGGCTGGAGCAGCTCTCCTATGAGAGCTGAGGGAGTTGAAGTTGTTCAGCCTGGAGAAAAGGAGGCTCTGGGAGGACCTTACAGCAACCTTCCAGTACCTGAGAGGGGCCTACAAGAAAGCAGGAGAGGGATGATTTAAACTAGAAAAGGGCAGATTTAGGTTATACGTTAAGAAAAAGTTCTTCAATATGAGGGTGGTAGACCACTGGAATAGGTTGCCCAGGCAGGTGGTGGAGGCTCCATCCCTGGGGATATTCAAAATCAGGCTAGGTGAGGCTCTGAGTAGCTTGATCTAGTTGAAGATGTCCCTGCTTATGGTGGGGGGGTTGGACTAGGTGACCTTTGGAGGTCCCTTCCAGCCCAGACATTCTATGATTCTTCCATAATTTGTATGCCACTGACCTTTCATAGTGTATTGCACACTAAATAAAATAAATACAATAAAGCAACAATTTGGGAATGCCAAGTCAGGCACTCCAGGATAAGAAGTCCCAGAAGCAACAAAACTACACAAATTCTTATGTGCCTGTGACTAAATTTAAGGAATCTGCAAAAACATCCTTTCTAGGTGTTTATATAGTGTGATCAAGACTTTTTTTTTTTTTTTTCTCCTCCTTCTTGACAAATAAGGAAGATTCTTGATAAGAGACTTAACAGACATACTTTCTAGGTACTGGCTCGTTCACAGAGCTCTTTTCAGAATCTTTTCCTTTTATAACATCTGTTTTGAGGGAGGAGCAGGGCTGTGTGTTATTCTGTACTCTAGATAGGTGAGACTGGTATTGGCAGTAGTATTATCTTTCTTCCTGTCTGATGTGAGCCTTTAAGGAGATAAAAGAGAATATTTTCACCCTTCTCTCCAACAGTGCTCTGAGAGTATTCTTTTGATGTATAATTACTTGCCTTGGAACTGTGATAATCAATTTTTGCAATAAAATGCAAAGTTCTCTTAAGTTTTAGTGGCTTTCCAGGTTTTCACCACTTGTTCAAGCAGTGGCAGTGTCTGACATACACCCACTTTGTGGAAATACCATCCGGAATTTGGCTGGGTTAAAATATATAGAGCTTTCTTAGAAGGAGCACTTGGTCTGTGTAAACAAGTCATTTCCAATGGTAATTATTATGTAAAGGGTGCAGACATTTGTGGAGTGTTTGGTCAACAGTGACTTAGGTCCTCCTGTGCTGTTGGTAAAGTAAAGTAGTATTTTTTTTGGCAAAGTCCAAATGTCTTACCATTTTTTCTGATACTCTTACCAAAGCATATATAACCAGCAAACTTACATAATGTTGGTATGTGTCAGAGACTCTCTTCTTATACCAATTCAATTTCCATGTAAAATTTCAAAATCTAGAATATAAGGTTTAAAAATGTCATGATGCAAACATTTACTAAAGATATAAAAATTATCTTTAAGAATCAGTCCTCAAACCAATTATGTATAGCATCTGGGGGGGGAAGGCATCTGAAAGCAAGTTGGTATGATTTTTCAAATTCATCGAATTAAAGCAGAGAGCTGTAATAAAAGCTGTCAGACTGTTGTAACTGCAGATTCTGTTGCTACTTGCATTGCTTACTGTGCTGTGCCAGCTAGTGTTTATAGTTTTCAAACAGTTTTGTAGTATGGTTTTTGCCAAGTGATAACTGTTTATACTTGGAGAAATGTGGCCACCCTGTATTCCCTCTGAAGTGACTTTTATCAGTTAATGGTATGATTCTTGTTTGGTCTCTCTGAGTACATCCTTCTGTACTCTCTGGCCTCCAACTTAAAAGCTCTTAAGCCGAAGAGTCTTGACTCTAATACTGTCTTAAATTAGCACTTACAGCCCCTTTTCCGTGCACAAAGACAGAACTAGTGTTCTCTTTTGTCATTGCTGAGCTTTTGTTGGAAAGGTACATGACCTGCCCTGGCATAGCCTGTGATTCTGTGGTCTCTGATGCAAAGACAAATTAATAACAACCCCCACCCTTATCCTGACAGCTTATATGTTGCATATAATATCCTTTCCTTGATGGTCTCTTGATGGAGAAGAGTGAATGCAACTGGAGTAAAGACCCAACAGTGGAGTGTATGATGGAGTAACAGAAGCTGAAGAGTTGTGAAATGGCAACAGACTGAGTAGAACAAAGCTAGAGGAAGTGGTTAACTTTTTAAATAGAAAACAAAAAGGACAAAACAGATATTCTTAAGATGGATGAAAAGTTTTGCTAGCATAGAAATTAAAAGACAAATTTGAATAGGCTAGACACCAAACCAAAGGCCTGTTAAGGTCGTAAATAATTTGATATAAAATGACAATTGGAAAATAATACAATGAGTATTTTCTGTTTAAAAGAAATAGAATACTTATAGTCGTAGCAGTTTATGCATAGGCTTACAATCTGGTGCTACCTAGGGACTTTGCTGTGAGTAGCTCCTGTCAGTTTATAGTTGGTCTGCATCATAACTTCTCAGTCTTTTATTTTCCTTTGTCTCACACATGGCTCAGTTGGTTCTGAGTTGGATTCTGTCCAATTTTGGCATATTTCTGAAATTTAGTTGTATTATTATTTATATAATGGAGAACTCAATACGATATTTTCCTTTTGATCTGTACTTTTAAGAGCTATTTGTAAGTGTAAATGAAGAAACAATATCTATGTTAAAATAGGTGCATACTTAGGTAATGCATACAAGGTAACTCATCGTTACTGCCTCTTCAGCAGTTCTTGTTTACTGATGCTATTGGGTATTTTTTTCCTCCATGATTGTCCCCAGGTTGCTAAATTTGCAGGAAGTAGGAACCGACATTTTCTTACACAAAAAGAAAGTGGCCAAGCAGATGCATTACCATTATTGCCATTATACCAATATTGCCATTATTATATACGAATAAAATAAAAGAATTCTTATGTCTTTGTCAATGGTGTATCTTGAGTAATTACCAATTCAGCTGCATTTGATACGGCTAAGACATGTTCTTAAGGGATCACTCTGATTACATCTTTTCTTCTGCACATAAAATCTGCTTCTGTAAGTGAAAGAAGTCCTGTTCTTACGCTTTTCTTTCAGTGACGCCTCCATGACCTGTTAGAAGAGTAGCCTTTACGGGACATGCAAGTAGGAGTGGCTGTTTGGAATCAAGGCACTTAGCCTTTTCTAGCCTTTGCCTTCTTTCACATGCAGGATAGGCAAAGGAGAATCAGTTGCCACCAAGTGTTAAGACTTGCTTATTGGCAAAGGATGAATGCAAGTAGCTAGATCTTCTGGTATTGTAGCTTTGATCAAGTGCTGTTTGATTACAGGTCTTAGTCCCAGATGTGTAGGGTTCTAGGTGTAGTTTTGAAATCGGCTCAAGTGGAGATATTAGCAAGTCACTTAACTGGTTTGTCTCTTCTTTTCTTCTTGTAAATGAGGATTTTTGTTTGCTCTGTGGGTTGCTTATGAGGAAGCAAATGTAAAATCTGATTGGCTTTTGAAAACATCAACAAAAATTCTATTTTTTGTATGATTGCATGAGAGGTCTCATTGTTTTCATTTTTCTCTCCCCATCCCAATCAGATACAAAGAAGGTGGTGAAGCTTTGTTAGTGTTGCTTCCATCAGAAGAAAAAGGCATGGTGGAACAGCTGGCACAGAGAAAAGTACCTGTCAGTGAAATTAAGTAAGTGACTAGTGGCCTGTCTGATATTCAGCCTTCTTTCTACAGGAATAATGGGTGATGAGTCTATGATAGAGTCAAGTGCTTGAAGTGCCTGGAGCTGGATAAAGAACTGCGATCATTGTTTTTATAGTGTTGTAGAAGAAAAAGACCTTGAGAGATTACCTATTCCATTCCCTTTTCCAAAGGCAGGGTCAACTGCACAAATCATTCCTGTGAGATGGTTGTCTAACTTGCCAAATACTATCATCACAGTTTTCCATAGTGATCTTATCTGTACTCAACAGTTCCACCATTAATTTGTTTTCTTCAAGTGTCTGATAAGCCTTGCAACTAATTTATTTTGTCCTGTGCCAAGAATATATGGAAAATGTTGCATTCTCTTAACCTTTGCAGCTACTTTTTATGTGATGGAACATTGTCATGCTCTTTCTCCTCTTTTGTGTTGTGGATTAAACTATTACAATTTCTTTAATCTGTCCTTGTATTTTTTACTATCTGTTATCATTCTTGTTTCTCTTAACTGTCTTTTCTTTAGTTCTAGACTATTTCTCCAGTTAGTCATGATCTTTCTGAATCAATTAGTTGAAGAACAGGGGAAAAAAGATGTGGCTAAATGGATATTTTACATACTAGAGTTATTTTACCTGTGAAGATGTGTGCTATCACTACAAAGAGAGACTTCGAAGCAGTTGCAGGAGCATATAACAATACCATGTAGAAGTAAAAAAAGCACTTATATTTTCAGTGTCTCTTAAATGCAGAGTAATGGACGTATAGGAAAGACAAAAAAACCTAACTGTAAAAATAATTTTAAAAAAACACTAAAAAGAATCTGTGGTAATTTCTTCAATTAGCAGCTATAGGTAGCAAGGAGTTCATTCTTCTTTGAGCCTGTCAGTCTAATGTTAAATCAAAAGGAAACAGAATGTGAAGGAATTATGGAAGAAGAATTGAAAGCAAGCCAGAAAATGTGATATGAGCCTGACTCCATTTTGAACACTTAGATAGTTGAGATTACAGCATGCCAAAAATGGTAATGTGGAGCTAGAAGAAATTGGAGAAGGATGAGAAGGTAGAAAGAAAATTAAGTTTCTGTGCAAGTGGATGTGAGCAAGGCTGGGACTGTTTTACTTGGAAAAGCAGTGGTTTGAATATGAACATATGCATATATAAGCAAAGATGAGAACTATGCAGAAAGTGGTTGTCATTACTTAGGTGCTTAAACTTTCAGATCTGCTCAAAATTAACAAGTTGTCATTTCTGCAGGGAGTAGGAACATGTGTGTACCACTTCCCAGATTTAAGGTTTAGTTTTATTTTTTAGGTATTTTTGTTGTATGGGACAAGCCATTTCAGAGGCACTTGTGAACCACACTTGTGAATGCTGCGTTTAAGGAACGGAACGAGTACACAGCACTAGCAAAAGTAAATACACCTTTTGTGGCCAAACACATGTATCAATTCTGTGTAGAACATGGATCAACTTCAAACCTAAGACAACTTCTGCTAAAACAGCAAAAGTGAGGATTAGAGTGGAGTCAAACAACTACTGAAGGCCTAATTTTGCTTAAAGATTTCTTTTGACGTTGCTGTTTAAAAAAACTCCACAACAAAACAGCCACTCCTCTCCCCAGCTGTATGTGGACAATTATCAGTAAAGAGCTGAAGTCTGTTTTTCTTTTCTTTTAAGTATTGTAACACTTTGAAAGGATCTGTTGTATAACCACCATAGACTAAGCAAATTCTCTTTTTTCCAAACTTCATCTTTTTCTTTCTTAAAATGATAGTTATTCAAACTATGTATCTTATTTTGATACTCACTAAATAAATGTCTGATCCTGTGCTCATTACAAATATTTCACTTTTCTTTGACGGCTCAGCTTTTAACTTCTTGACCAATGCAGTCAATTTGAACAGCATATCACAGAAGATGGTAAAAAAAGCCACTTTAGCCTGTATTTATCCAGTTAAATCCAAATTGGTATTTTTGTACCAGAATAACAGTTCAATTTTAATAAGGAAAATATTTCATTTCCCTCCCAATAAATGCATCTTCCATTTATAATCCAAGTTAGATGGGTCTCTGGAAAGACATCCATGGCTTCATCTCTTAATACATTATTGCTAATCTGATCTTACCTCACTGGAAAACTATGCTTTTTTTTTATAAACAACATCTCAAAAATTTATTCTTTTACCAAGCCATATGATAATGCATTTTAACAGCCCTCCCTGAGGTCCAGTATTTCAATCTGCAAAAGATACTTTATTAGTATTTGTAATATCATAATGAAGGGAAATGCTTTCAGTTAAAATTGTATAGCTATTGTGGCTAAGGCTTAAATGGATTAGCGTATTACTTGTCAGAGGCTAACTAAAATCCCTAAATAAATAAATCAATAAAAATTTTAAAAATCTTGTAATGACTTGTGAATTGCAAACTAATTTAATCTTTAACTACAAATTTTCTTGGGCTGTTTACTTCTAGACAGTTTCCCAATTAATACAGCCCTGATGTTTTTTGTCAGTTGATAAATTGTTGAAGTTATATCAACCCATGGATCATGTTCCAGGTCTTCCGTTGAAGTTTTTCAGCTGTTGTTTGTGCATATTCACCTAATCACAGGCTCTCAAGAATTGAGTCTTGCCTTCTAACTTGTGCCTTAGTGAGCATTGCTTGCTGCCAACAGAGTTTAACTCTTAAAACTTGTGAAATTAATTCAAAAACTTTTTGTTTCTAAAACTTCACTATCAATTAAAGTATTTGTTTTGTTGTTCTTGTTAACCTGTTACCTTACATAGGCATTGCAAGAACCAGTTTTCTGTTCCTTTCCTTGTTTTGTATTTTCTGACTTGCAAACAGCTCAAGATTTCTTTGTTTGATTTAGAGGGAGCTGTTAAAACATCTCATTTCAAAAAATTTCAAAGTAGAGAGGGGAAGCACTCTTTTCTTTTCCTGAATACCTATTCAAAAGGCTACAGAGTTTGGGCTGTTTTCTTAGTTTTCTATTTTAAATCTAAGTTCCCTCTAAAGCCTGTTAATATCCCATTGCTTTCTAATCAGCACAAGCTGCCAATTTACAGGTAGTGCTTTTAAGAGTGTATCTCTTTTTGGTTGTTCAGAGCAAGAGAAAATGAAAAAAAGGCAATAATAAATATAATGTGTTTTAGAGCAACTATGGCAAAAAGCAACTCTGAAAGTATTAAATATTATGTACATATTTATAAGGAGTCTATAATTTCGAAGTTTTATGTACAAGCTGGAAACTGAAAAGATAAGACTCTTCATGGTGTTCAGTTTTGTTGAGTATTAGGAGTTGCTTCCATGATAGATTTTATGTCTAGAAGATTTTACTGAAGGAAGTTTGAGTATATAGATATCCATGATTTAATAGTTCTTTCTGTAATATTATAACAAAAATGTGGTTCTTGAAGAAAAGAACAACAAAAACCAACCATTTTTATTTTTCTGGTGGGACAATACTTGGATACGTATTGCACACGACAGTAACAGGAATACTAGGGAATCTATTAAAACTTCCTGCCTCCCAGGTTCCATCATTACTGTAGGACAATCCACTGGTACATGGTCTGCTGGTGTGAAGTTGGCAACTGTGAGCAGCTTTCCTTGGGTCCCAGCTCTTCCTCCTCTCTCCAGCCTTCCAGGTTGTCCAGAGTAACTGTAGGGAGCCGTGTTCCAGGCTGAGAGCACAGAGCAAAGCCTGCTGCTGCTTGGAAGCTGGGTGGAATATGGAAACTGTTTTGCTACATCATGGCAGCACGGTCTTTTTGGTGGTTGTCAAGCTTTTTTGTTTAAATTCTGCTTTGGAGAGGTTGAGGAAGAGAGAGTATCTAGTTAAAGCAGTGCTTGTATCCTGGTGTTAAGAAGGGGGGAAGGGAGAGGAAAGCAGAGCGCCTGTTGACCAGGAAATCTGGAGGGTGCGCTCTGATCAGTCCAAAAAACCAAGGAAGCCGAGTTCGTATTTATGTCATGGCACAGTCACGTGTGGCCATTTACGCAGCTGCTAGGCTAACCAACAGTTTCCAGAAGTTATACTGCTCCTTAAATGCAAGATTTGTGGTCATAGAGGGACAAAAGAAATAAACAGCCTAGTTAAAATGACTGACAGTGCCATAAAATCCCCTTGTAGTGCTTGCGTAGTTGGTTCTAGCTCACTGGTTCTTAGCTGTGTAAGCAAGCTTATAAATTACAATAATTTATTTAATTGTTTAGATTGTAGGTTTGTCTCTCCAAATAGTCACATGTGTTATTGTAAAGAGTTTTATTTGTTCAGAAAAAAAATAACATGAAAACTCTTTAAAAGCAAAATCTGATTTAACAGTCATCAGCTTTCCTATATTTGGAATCCCAGCATGAGATGAAGACAACAGTGGGTGGCTGTCTATGATACAGTGTTGCAGAAGAGAATTCAGTGTTATGACTCTTCTTTTTAATATTCAGTGTTGCAGCTTTGCTCATTCATTAACAAACACGTAACCTCAAAATGTGCTTGAGGCACCATATTCTTCATTGACATTGCTTAAATTTACACCACGTTATCTTGCCATGCTTTTAACTGTAAAGTGTTTTAGATTTTCAGTCTTTTTCAAACCCTTTTCTTGCTAATTTCAAACAAATTACTCAAGCTAAAAATTGTGTGGTCAACAAAGCATTGTAACATCTTTTCTTAAGATTATTGACCATTGTGCTTGGAGTCCCAGTGGTGTATTCAATCCTATAAATAATGAATCGTATAAATAAAATAATGAAATCATAATAATGAGGAATAGCAAGCCCAGATGAGAATTGGAACTTGGTGTGCATTCTGAGTTTGATAGTGACAACAGTGAGTAGTTGGCAGTCCCAGCTGCTTTTTGAGTACAGGTCCAGGACTAGTTTTGCATTTACTTGGAAGATTGCATCTAGACTATTTCCCTAGTTTATAAGAATGTGCAACTGCCAGATATGGTCTTTGTTGTCAGCAAAGCATCTGATGTTTCTTTGTTTCTTTCCTATTCTTAAAGCCTCTTAATGCTGCTACTGAGGATAATAAAACTAATTAGTCATTTTCTTTAGGTGCTTACATATTGGGTTTTGAGAGGGGAGGCATTTTTGGTGTGGTGTGGTTTGTGGTGTGTTTTTTGTTTTTTTTTTTTTTTTTTTTTGTTATTCATGCTATTCCTTCTTTACTTTTTTTATCTTATTTTGTGCTTGTAATTCTTACTTTATCCAAGTGTATTTGTGCTGTTTTTATACTTGAGTTCTACTTTAAGCTTTCTTCTTGAGTTTTGGGTCATTGTAAAGATGTTCATTTCATCTAGCCAGCCTTTTTCCTTTTCCTCCTCTCTTTCCTATGCAGTTTGTACCTTCTAATACAATTTTGTGTAGCCACTGCTTTTATTTCGCTATCCTACATTTTTCCTTTGTTAGGATCATAAATATTTTTATTGTCACCCTCTCAACCTTGTTTTACAGAGTAAATCTAGAAGAGCCTTCTCTCTATTTGCTTTTTCTATCTTTGGTATCTTGGGGGTATTCCATCCTGCACTGTTTCAAAGACTTGTTGGTCAGTTTGTCCACCCCCCCCCGAATTTTTCATGTCTCTTCTTTTCTTTTGTATGTCTTTATACATTCAGAGCGAATTATGTGCTGACTTGAAACTGGAACTAAGCTTTTTGATCTTTCGCTAATACTGTAGCAAAATAGCTCTTGTGTGCACTACAGTTTTCCACTGGCTGTATCTGTCAGAGATAAGAAATTGATATTATGAGAGAATAAAGCTTGTTTTCTTTATAAATTATTCTTTGGTAATAGCCTCCAACCCTTTGCTTAATTTCTGCTTTCATATTTAGTAAGAATAATAGATGATTGTAATGGCTTATGTTACAGAAATTGACTATAAAATGTTTCTGGACTAGTATTTTCATTAGAGTCCTGTTTTTTTAGACCAACTTGCTGCTGTATAGAGAAGCATGATTTTGATTATTATTTTATCTTTTTCTGGTCTTGCTCCAGCAAAGGCTACGTTTAGTTGTGCCGTATGGGATGATGTGGCACACAGCAGCAAGAACCAGATTAAGAAATCTGGTAGCTGTGTTTCTCTTTTGACCTCTACTTGAGGGGTAATCTCCTACCATGTTTGGTAGGTCGTACAGTACACTTGGGTGGCACTAGCAGATCAAAACAAGGAGTAGATAAGAAAAGATCTGGCTAAATAAACCTGGAATAGTGTAGGTATCACTGGGGTAAGTGTAAAAATCCAGAGTCTGGGAGAGAACTTACATAACTGACTAGGTTTAATGGAATTTTCTATAATAGAGTCACTGTTCTTTATTATTCACTTGGTCAATATCTTGAGGAGCTCATAAATCTGTTTAATCTCGATGTCCTTTAATTTTTCTCATTTGACTGTAAGAAAGTACTTTAAAAGTTCAGTATTCCCAGGGCAATGGATCTTATTTAACCTTTCCTTATGAATTTCCTTATGAAGACTGCTATCTTACTATAAATTAGTACTAGAATTCATTATGCTTATATAAAAACACTAAGGAAAAAAAATATAAATTCAAGAAGCTTTTTATTGCTGATTTTGTCTTTGCTTTGGAAGAACTTTCACCACCTTCACTGGAAACTGTCCGTGGATAAAAAGTCTGAGCCTCCTGTTTGTCTTTTCTGCATTATTTGTTTGAGGAGTGTATGTGTGCTTCATCCTTAATAAGGTTCCATTCTAAGCTGTTTCAGAGTGGCAATAAATTTATGCATATTAAAGCAGTACAAAAGATGTGAAAATACTCCTGAGAACTTAATAGGTGCTGATTTTTGCATATTCTAATAATTAAAGCTAACTTTTTTTTTTCTTTTTAATTAGAATTAATCCTGAAAAACTTACAGACATCCAAAAGAGGATGCAAGCTTTCTTAGCACAGGATCAGGAGTTAAAAGAGAAAGCTCAAAGGGTGAGTCATCTGTTTCTGGGTAGTTCTTGGGGCATGCTGGTTGAATGGAACTGCTGTTGGAATAACTGACTCACTCATGTATGCCCTAGCAGCAGCATTTGGAACTGCTAGATTGTTCTTTTTTTAAGCTTTGAAACGTGACATCAATAGAAACAAAAATCATGTATTAGCAGTTGGTGGTAAGTATGCCTGTGTGGCCTGTGAATTGGCATGAGCCAAATGTGGGCACATGATGCTAATGCCTGAAGAGCTATCTGGCCTACTACTGTGGTGCCTAAGTTAAGGCCTGGGTGAGGACATATTTGTTTTAGAGTCTTGGGTATGGAAGTAATTTTTGATTTAGTGTTCACTGCTTCTCAGGTATTTGAAAGTTTTTACTGTTTTGTTTGAGACTTGAACCCATGGAGGAAGAACCCCATATACCAGTACAGGCTGGTACCAAATTGCTGGAAAGCAGCTTTGCAGAAAAGGACATGGGGCAGCCGGTTGTCCAGTGGACAAGAGGCTGAACATGCCTTTGTAGTAAAGAAGGCCAGCTACGTTCTGGGTGGCAATGAGGCAGAGCTTTGACAGGTCAAGGGAGGTGGTCCTGTCCCTCCTCTCCCTTCTACCCAGCTCTGGTGAGACACATCTGGAGTGTGAAGCTTGTTTATGGACTTCCAGTACAAGTAAGATGTGGACATACTGGAGGCCAGACCGGTTAAGAACTATGAAGATGACTTCTTGGATTATCTCCTCTATTAGGGGGGAAGTATGAATTAGAACCAGAATCTTCAGAGTGGTGCCCACTGATTACCAGAGGAGGTGGTGGGCACAAATTTTTATAAAAAAGCTCAATTTAAACTCAAGAAAAAAACTTTTATTGCGGGGATGGCTGAACATTAGAACAGGTTGCACAGGGAGGTTTTGCAGTCTCCATTGTTGGATATTAAAACCTGAGTGCATTCTGAGCACCCTGCTCTGGCTGACTTTGCTTTGAGTCAGGGGTTTTGGCTAGATGGTCTCTGGAGTTTCTTTTCAACCTCAGTGTTTTCTGTAAATCATACAGTTGCTAAATCATTACAAAGATATCTTTTTTCCATCATGTATCCTTGGTAGCGTGATGAAGAACAGAACTGTGTACCCTTTTCAGTTCTGTAACCCTTTTGATTGAAGGGGCTAGGTAAATTGGTAGTTCTTCCTGAAAGGACTTTTTTTAGGGGGCTGATAGAGAACACTCTTAAACTCTTAAAACTCTTTTAAGTTGAGGTTCATCTCACCTAACTTTAGATGTCCTGTGTGAGATGGTTTCCCTGAGCTTTTATTTATAGTTAATAGAGAGGAACAGGCACTTCTAGGATGCATCATGACATAGGTACCTGAAATACCTTGGGCTGAGTGAGTGGTAGTTACTTTGCACTGCAGAGGTAGCCTGTGTGAAGTGACCTCTCTTGGGTGCCTGCCACAGAGACACTTACACTGGCCATCTGTCAGTGTTAAAAATTTAATTTTGAAAAATTTTGAATTGCCATTTAATTATCCTTTCAAATCATCTTTGTTGTGGTATTTCATTTATGGGTAGCAGTGCAGTGTCATCTTGTGGACAACTGTATATACATTCAGATTTTGAAAATGTGAAGTATGGACTAGTGGTTTATCATAGGAGTGTCTCTCCTTAATAAATAAATAAAAGAGTTAAGTATGAGTGTTCAGATATACTATGCATATATGCCCCAGCAGTCATAAGTATCAATGTAACTAAAACAATAAAAACAATACAAATTAAATCCTGACCTTGGATCTTTATCTGGAATGGTGGATTTCTCCAAGGCACAGGTGTTGTGCTGTCTGGCCTGTCTGTTGCAAGCTGCCAAACCCCTGACATTTGTAAGAAATAAATTCCCTACCTGGATGGAGTAGGTAGCTGTGAAGCAGCACAGCTGTGTGCAGAAGTTCAGGTAGGATGTAGTTTGTTGTGTTGAGGTCATGGGGTCTGAGCGATTGCTTCCTCAAAGCATGTTGATTTACTTCAAGATGCTTTTACTTTGTTATTTTAAAAACAAAAAAGAAAATTCTTGATTAATCATTGCTTCGATGAACTTCATGGTTCATTTGATAGGATGTGGGTCCCCTGCTGTTGCTTGGAAAGAGAGTGAGTGCATCAGAGCAGGGCTCCTGTGAAGCCTTTGCAGTTCCTCTCATGGACTGATGCTGCCTTTTGGCATTTCTTGTAATTTTAATATTTAATGTGTCAGTTTTAAAAAGAATGTGTTTTTCTTTCTAGTTTGAATGTCATTGTGTAGGGGGTACTGGGACACTGACGTGATGTCTTGTCTGTTAAATTCTTTATCACTCCCAGAGGGATGTGCAGGGTGTTGCAGCCTGAGAATCCAGTCATGCCCTGTTACTTTGAATCCTGTCAAAACAGCACATAAATTGGATAACTGTTTAAAACACACACAACTCAAGAAATACTTCAGTAAATGAAAACTTAAACGTAGCAAATTAGTGGAGTATAGTACTTGTTGCCTTATGTATTTCTAGTACTTGTACGATCATCTTAAATGGTTTGGGGGGCCTTTAGCTACTGCTGTAATAGGTTTCTGATAACTGTAACATTTTCCATAATGGTATAAGTTAATTCATATAATATTTTTGTAACATTCAGTTATTAAAAAAACCCTTGAAAGTGACATGAATCCAGCAAAAATAGCACTGGAGAGCAGCATTTGGTAAAAAGAGCAGGAAAAAAGTTCGGACTGACTAAACTTGTTCTCCCTCAGCTGTCCAGTTTGTGCATGCAGAGTGACTAAGTCTTAGGAGAATTAAATAAAGTCCTGAGTGAGATGACAGTATTTTAGAAGGAGGATGAAGTGAGGGTACTGAAATAAAATCAAAAAAGTAATTTATTCCTTCTATACTTCATTTCTCTTCTTGTAAAGTAAAACTCGTCTGTGCTGTATTTAACTTTTCTCGTTTGGGTGTAAGCTCTTGGAGGAGGGAGTATCTTGCTGGAAGTGTTTACAGTGCCTAAAATAATAGAGAATGAGATCAGCTCAAGACTTTAATGATCATTTTATTACTGTTGAATGATCTTTGAAGCCTTTTACCTTTATTAGATGCCAATTTCTTTGAACTTAGAGGAACACCATCCTGCTTACAGTCCATGACAAACTTGAAAATTTGTTTTGAGTCTCAGTGGGCTGAACCCTGTTGATAGCTGATAGATGTGAGTTAGAACATCTGGTATTTGGGGGTTCATTGTTAGTTACTATAGGGCTTGATACATGTGCAAAAGGTGTATTCATTCTGCTCCTTATCTATCATTTATTCATTTCTAGACCATGTGAACCAAAGATATACTAGTAAAGTAAGTGGATGACTTTGTCAGTTATCCAACAAGCAGAGTAAGGTTTCCACCCTCTGTCATGCAGTAGATTCGTAGATCTTCAGATCTGCAAATCTCAGATTCACAGAAAAGATACTCCTTGTTTATCCCGCTTCAGCCTGTCTGCCACTACAGAGAAAAAAGAGACTTATTGTCTTTATTGCTTGCTAGACAGCAATAAATTAATAAGATTTGTTGAATTTGAAGCTTTTTCCTAGAGGTTCTGGTTACCTCTGTAAAATTAATAATTTAAGGTGAGCAAACAAGTGGTTTATTCTACACCTCATTCTTGGTAGCAGCTGAATGGGTTGTGCTAGCACCTTCTACTGCTAAAATTAATTGAAAGACATAATTCGGACAGGAAACTTTACTCCAAAATTTAGCATTTGGAAAAATAAGCAAAGGAAAATTTTCTTCTGTAATGAAGTGTTGGGCAGCTTGAAAAGCATATCTCTTAGCTCTACATGTCTGAGAATTAATAATTCTCTTTTCAGTTTGCTAAGGGGAAACTTTATGACATTGCTTAATTCTGTCTCATTTTTATTTTTGCTGTTGGGGATGTTTTTTTCTTTTATGAGCATTTAAAAGATCCCCATAAGAGATGGATGCTCCTGGTTGGATCTTTTCCTCCTCTATCTCAGGTTAATAGGAAGTAGATTTTTTTTTTTTCCCCTTTAAATTCCACATGAATTATTAATACAATAATTTTCTTTGATGGGTGCCTGTACATAGCAGAACAAGGGTGTGATTATAACATGATTGCATATAACTCCACAAGCTTAATTTGCTATTGTTACTAGTGTTTGCTGGTTTAAGCTTCATGGTAGGAGTTTTGGCATCTGTTAGAAATTAGATTAAGAAAAACAAAATTCCAGGCATCTTCTCTGATACTTAAAATATCCCAGTATTTGAGTATTTGTGCTGCTGCTGATAGGCAGAAATAGGCTATGTAAAAAGGAATGTAAGAAGAATAAGTATCTTTCCTTTTAGGCAGGATGGAGGGAAAATGCAACACAAGATTAAGTTGTTCTGTTATGCAGTGCTTCCAGTTGCCTTGGTGAAAGCCTGGGATTAATGGAAGCTTCAACCTTGGACTGGTCTCAGCAGGTGTTGCATAGTGACTTTTGTTAGTTAGCTGAGCTGCATTCATTAACTGCAAGGATGTGGTGAGCTGGTGGCAAGTGCAAGGTAATATGAATTATCTCAGGCTACAGTGAAAGGCAGCTACTTTCAGTCAAATCACTTTGTTAGTGGCAGATGTTGTCAGGACGCCACAGATTGATAGCAACAGTCTGTTCTTGCTTCCACATCGCTCAAATATCAAAACAGCATAACATTCAGAAAAGCTGAGAGAAAAAAAGAATTGAATCAGTGATGTTTTCTTCTGACTAATTTTCCTTATTTTCTTTCTAGGGAATATAACATGCTGTTGGGAAATTTGGCCAATTATTTGAATACTTGAATTTGCGTCACTTCTGTAGTACTGATAAATTTTGGCTGATGGGTGTTGTGTAGAAGAACTGCAGTCTGAAATCAACGTTAGATCACTTAATAGTGAAATTCTACTTTGTGTTTAGAGCAACAGTATACTGTTAGCTGCACGTGTTGGTAATTTAATTGTTTCTTTTTTTTGTTAAATACTCATATTTTTATTTCAGTGTTTTGTATCCTACTTGCGGTCAGTTTACTTAATGAAGAATAAGGACGTCTTTGACGTTTTCAAGTTGCCTCTGTCAGAATATGCCCTGTAAGTATCATCAACTTGAAAAGTGAAAGCTGTGTGGTGAAAAGTTATTCAGTGTGGGGTAGCTTTATATAGATGTTTTGACTATGTTAACCCACAGAACTGGACGTTCTTGTAATGTATTTGCAGTTCCATATTTATGCTGTGCTTTTGCATATTTTTGAAGACATTTAAAATAGAAATTATGTGTATAAACTATAATTCTACAGAGAGAAATAACTTCTAAATTTGCTGTATGAAACAGGATGCAAAACTTGTGAGGTAAAAGGATAGAGAACAATAGGTTTGGGGTTCTGTTTTTCTCAGATTCTCCCGTCAGCCTCATAGCTAAATGCCAACCTGTGAAGTGTATTATTTAAAAAGAAATTGGAGTATCCAAAGGTGATATATTGCAGTCTCATCTTGAGCATGATTGGGGCATTGCTTCTTGGACATAAATTACTTTTCAGAAGAGTCAGTGTGCTTGGTAAAGATGAAACATCTGCACTGAGCTGGATAGCCCCTGTTTTGCTATGTCTGGTTTTGTACATATATGATCCATTCCATATTTTGTATGGGAGGGAAATTAATTTTCACAGGTTGACTTTACAGATGACAATCATAGAAGATTGTTTTAAGGTGTGAAGTTTTCAAATAACCTCGTGGGACACAGGGTAGTCAGAAGGGATCAGGAAGGTGCTCAAAGATGCGTGGTAAATTAAATTTATGTCTCTGGAATTTTATACAGAGAAGACTTAAGTCTTCATACTTGTCAGCTCATGGCATAATGAACTAAAATGTGACAAATTACTAGAGTGTAGAACACCTGGTCTTACTGTGCTGTGCTGCAATGAACGTGATGATGTTTTTTAAGGTATGTAAGCCTATTATAAAACATGCTTTCTTACTTTATGGACTGAGAAATCTTTAAAAAAGAATTAGCAGAAACGTGAAAAATTTCACTATATGCATTGATAACCCTTTCACCTGTGTGATTTGTGAGTATCTTTAAAACCTGATTGTAGGTTTCGCTATGTTGAATGTAACAGATAGTAGCAGAAGGTTAGGACTAAGAGGAATGACCACACAGATTTAACCAGTGTGCTAAGAAACCAACTGAGAGATGGTAATGATGAATTTTTTGGAAGTTCACTGCCTCTTTATGGATTTCAGCATGGTGTGCCATCAGGTGTCTGATATTGATGTGGATGTCTTCTGTTCTCCTCAGGCCTCTGTGCCAGGATTTGGTCCTTTATCAAAGTAGTTTTTAATCCCAGCTTTGCAAAGTCACTAATAAGTCATTCCTGTATTAACGTGAAAGAAACCAGACAGTTGTTTGGAGAAGGTAAGAGAGATTTAGTCAAGACTGTGAAATATATAGAATTGAATCAAAAAGTCAGAAGAAAATAAATCTGGGAGATGATTTAGAGATTCTGCTCTAAATGAATAGTTTGTTGGTACTCTTCTTTTCCACTCTCCAGACTGCTAGTCTACCTAAATACACCCTGCAGTCCCTTGGCTTTCAGTGCACATCCACTGATAAAGTGGATCAGTCAGTTTAATTTATCTGAAAGGCCCTCAAAGTCTGGTATGTTTGAATTCTGCATTCAGAAGCAACCTTGGTTTACGTTCTGCTCATAAACTCATGGCAAAACCTAGAATGAGAATCCTTTCTTCACTTTACCTTCTGTGTGTATTCTCTGAAAAGTATTTCAGCTTTTCTGTGAAGATTTACTGCTGGCTTGATATATGTTACTCCACTAAAAACCCTGCAGAGAAAATAGGCTGCTTAATGCCCTGTCAGGTTTGTGTTTCAGTCTGTCAGACTGCTGCCTGCTTTCTCTGTTGCTCCCTTGCCTGGCATGCCTGTGCACTGAGATTCTGTTCTGCTCTGTGGATTGAGCCTGCAGAAAAGCAGTAGTATTTTTGATTTTTATATATTGTATTAAATTATTTGATATAAAAATCATATATCTAGAAAGCATTAGGTATATAAAAAGTGCATGTGTGCATGTCTACATATACACACGTATTCTAGAGACTGATCACTTCTAAGCTATTAGTACATTAGTATTCTCTCCAGTATCCTCCCATTACAAATTGCTATCAAGGATAATTTGCTGGAGGAAGACATGCACAGGCCTTGTGTTAACATAGGCAGCCTTTAAGTTTGGTGAAGGAAGACCTCGATGAAAAAAGAGAAATTTGGCTTTTCATTGCAAAGGACAGCTTTGAAAACATAAGAAAATGTAAACAACATGATGGAAAAGAATAATTAGTTAGTCTGGCTTCCTGGATAGGAGATGAGGTAAAGAGGAGGCAGGGATTCAAACCACTTTATTTCTCAGGCATGTTTTTATATATAAGTCAGTCTCTAGATGTAGATTTTAACAGGTGAGTATGCTGGATGGACAGGTTAGTCCCAGCTCTAAGGGCTGCCAGGGAGTGCAATTTCCTCTGTGAATTTCATCATGTCTCCCAGGCAGAATGCAGCATATTTTTCTCTCTCTATCCTTTTATTGGTGTATAGAGAATAAATAAGGCAGGCTGAAGCCAAATTATTTGGGAAATGTCTGATACACACAGCTTAGTACCTACCTAATTTTGCAAGTACTCTTTACAGATCAGTGTTACAAAGCAGTAGGTAACTGCAGGTGCTGTCAGGTCTGAAATGGGTGATACCAGGATACGTGATCCATCTGTCCACATCTGTTTGTCCTCTCACTGACCAGGGAAAGCACACACTGCACTCTCACCCCAGTTTCCCTGGCTAAGGATGTAGGCCTGACCCTTGCTGCATGGTCTGGGCAGAGGGTTTCCATTCCTTATCTTGCTCCAGCTGCCTTGAGCAAGTGCAGGGCTGCCTGTCAAGTCCCCCAGGCAGTGCCCATCACAGACTTTGCACATCTCATCATCCCTCTCCTGCTTCTTGGTCCTTTTCACTGCCTTTGCTTCCTTTCCTACACCCCGGTCTCCTTCCAACTAAAAAGCCTGCCCCAGAGTACTTTTTCTCAGTTGTTTCCAGTCTTCGTACACCTTTGGCGGACTTTGTATTTCTCATGCTATGGGGTTAATCTCAACCTCACACAGTATTACTCATACAGGTCTTGGTATTCCTTCCAGTGATCTGGAGAGTTTGTGCATTTCTCACACAGCTCCTCCTCAGTCACCTGCAGATCTATCCATCTCTTTCTCAGCTTTCTGTAATTACTTCTGTAAGCTTCTAAGCTCTCTGATCCTGCTGTACAGGTCTCTGAACAAGCTGCAGTCTCCTCTCTTAAAGTCCAAGGTCATTATTCTCTTAGTCATCATCCTCATTTCTTCTAGGATCTTGAACTACCTTTTCTCATTTTGCAGCCAAGCCTGCTATTGACCTTCAGTCACCTTAGAAGTAAATGTGTTTGCATATGCATGAGTAGCAGTTCCAGCAGAGTGCCTTTCAGACCTGTCTATTCCAGCTAACTTGGAGAAATGCACTCCAGAAATCTCTGTTGCTCATGCTCTGCTGTGTTGCTTTTTGAGCAGGTGCCAGGGAGCTCCAGTGTTTGCAGCTGCAGTGTGGAGGCTTCTTTTACTTCTGTAACGAAGGCTACGTCTCGGTCTTCTAAGGGATTGGGTTCCAACCATGACATCCTCTTTGGCCTTCTCTTTGATCCTCACCCAGAAACTCTTGATTAGCTTGGCTATTATTATTAGTAGGATACCATGCATTTGAGCTCCTTCAGGGGACTAAAGCTGGCTGTTAAAATAAATAACACAGCAAAAGCAATTTCTCTGTTCATTTTGGTTATTAATCAGACCATCTGGAAAGCCTTTTAATTCAGATTTGTGTCACTTAAGTTAATTTGATTTCTTCTATTTTCAAATGGTTGTTAACCTGTCTCCTGAAAACATTTTAAATGTTAAATGTAGATGTGGCATATATTGCAAGGCAAATAATACACGTTTCTTCTCTTGAAATAGCTTCTGGGAGTATTTAACCTTTTCCAGACTATTTTAAATCTTTGTCTGAACCTGTTCTACAGTAAAAGAAATCACTGTGCTGCATTTTTATGTGTTCAAATAATTCTGGAGAAATTCACTCATGGAATATGTCTTACATGTAGTAAATATAGTCCCTTAATATTAGGATGAAGCACTAACTTGTGTAAAATTGTTGTACAGCAGTACTGCAGAAGTGACCTCATCTTCTTTACAATTGGCTCATATTTCAAACAGGACTGGAAGTTCTAGGTGCAGATTAGGAGCTACTGTGACACTTAAAAAATAAAAGGTTGTACTAGTTTCAAATTTTATGTTTAATTTAAGCAAGGATAGATCTTGCTCTGAGTGTCCAAGATTACATCTTTTTGAAGAGTTGAGAGATGTCAAGCTTTTCACCCAGCCAAGTAGAGGTATAGTGAAGTTACCATGTTAATGTAAACATACTGAAGATGCTTTTATAAGCATAATCAACAAACCTCAGAACAGGCAGTTTTAATTCTGATACACTATTTAAAAAAAAAGTTTACTAATGTTTGGTTTGTCTTATTCAATAGCAAACAAAAGTGGTGTTCTTAAAACTATACAGTGTTCTTTGGAGTTTTACTCTTTTAACTTATTTACTGAAATTTTTTTTTTCAACTTACTTTGAACTGAAGGAGATACCTGAGCATAGTAGGTGTTTTGCTGAGTTACTTGTTTGCATTCCTTGACCAATGTTAGGGAATGATGATATCTGGCTGCCTCAGTTTCATTGACAATTAAAACTGGCAGGTGTACTTTCGTTTATAGTAGCAAACTAATCCATTGGTTTCAATATTGCTTTTAGAAGCTATCTTTCTATAAGGATTTGCACCCAAGAAGTCATTACATTTCAAACCAAAATATGACACAGGATTATTTTTTGTTTTGTCAACTGAATTTGTGTTGCTATTTATAGGCTGCAATAGTCTGAGAACTACACTGTGGTGTTAGAGTATTTATAGTGTTCTGTGTTAGAGTTTATGAAATCTCACTAAATAAGTTACCTGGGTTTCGTCTGTCTTATGAGGAAACCTTGCATATTTCTTATTCCAGGAGGGTGCATGGAAGGCTAGCACTGAAATCAAAAGAATAGCTGTAACTTCAGTTGGAGTAAGATTGTGGTCTGAACAGCATCTGATGAATTAATGAAAACTAATATTGCCCTTTCTAGTTGGTGGGAAGAAGAGCTGGAGCACATATTAATTTCTTCTTTATTGTGATTGAACTTTAGATTTGGCAAGTGATTAAGAAATAAATTCTAAACAAAGGGTTGAGTCTTAGAATATGAGGAAACTTTTAGCAGTAGTAGAATGTGTCTCAAATTGTTCTCTGTTTGGAATCTGCTATGGAAAAGAGGCCATAATGAGTCAAAATGCTGACATTTTTTTGAGAAGTTACATAATTAAAAGTGTTTGGGGATTGTTTGTACCCAACTTTGTTTAAGCTTATCCACTATTACTTTCTTAGCAAACTTGACCTTAACTTCTTTGCTTTCCCCCAAGTATGAATGCTGTATTCTTTTGGTTTAGATATCATTTGAATTGTGAAACATTGGTCTTTTATGGTAGGGTTGCTAACCAGTGTAGAAAATTTGGCCAGTATTAGCAGATAATGAGTTTCATGCAATTATTAAGGTAGGATATGAGTGCAGAACACCAGTCTGACAGGTGGGATTTCATCTTTGAATGAGAAAAGCTGTGCTGAAGTCTCCTTCATACCATGGGCTTCTCTTTTTGACTGTTTCAACTTCTAGTGTGTAGAAAGTAGCTTCTTCACCATGTCAGACTTTTGTCTGCAGCCATGATCCTGGTCTTTGATAGGAGCTCTGGCGGCACAGAAGAGAAGCCGTTTTAAAGTAAGAGTTTGCAACCCTGTGCACATCGTGTCTGTCTGCAGGACAAAGCCATGTGAACAGGGATGGCGTAGTTGCCGTGCAGTGCTGTTACTTGCACTACTTTGTCAACAGTTGACAGCAATACTTTATGTAGAATAACGTTGTGAAATCTGGAGCAGAAAAAAAAAAGCATTCCTCTGGCAAAGGATTTTTTTTTTGCTACTGCGATCCCCTCGCCCAAGAGGTTGCACACTCATTGGTGTCACAGCAATCTCTTCATACATTTTACTATGCCTTGTGTTAAGGCCCAATGCCAGGTTTGAATCTCCTCCAGCTGCTGCAGCGAAGCCTTACATCTGCTTTGAATGGTAATTTTTCTTTCAGTTAGCCAGAAGGTCAAACTTTCACACATAGTTTCATTGCAAAAGTAGTTACTGTTAGCTGACAAACACTAAAACAAGCTTAAGGATGCTGGTCGCTCCTATTTCAGATTGCAGATGTGTTGTGTTATCCTCTCAGCAGTGTGCTGTCAGTAGACATGCAAAACACATGGGCCGAAAACTTCCACTGGTGTCTTTTTCATAAAGCTCTATGTGCTTTATTATTGCTGTTAATTGTTTGTAGAATAACAGTACTATGTTATCAGAAATACTTAAACCAAATAAACTTTACATTAAAATTAAGACTTTATCGAAAAACTTGCTCCTCATCCTAACAGTGTGGGCTTCTTTCTGAATGCATGTCCACCTTCCAGTGTTTCAGCCTGTGGCCAGTACCAAAACTGTCCTGCTTAACCACAGATGTGGTTGCATTTAGGTTCTTTGTTTGTTATTTAAGTAGGGGACGTGTCCTGTTGACCACTCTGTCCCATTGGCTACCATTAACAGCTCAAGGCTCTCCAGGGCCTGCTGTCCACTCTTGCTGCTCTGCAGTACTGTTTAGATGCTTCATGAACTGTTCATAATGATACTTCTAGCAGGGAGTATAGATTTGGTTTTTCTCCTGTGCCATAACTCAGGTTTCTTTATTCAGAGCTGTCTACTTGAAATGAGCAGCATTGGGAGGAGTGGTGGTGTGCCTGTCTGAATAGAGACTGGTCTTCCTGAGGCATGGGTGCAGGTGTATACCTGTAGCCATTTTAGTTGGTTAATTACTCCTTTGTTAAGAACTGCGTGTGCAGGCTGTGAGTATTACAAACACTATCAGTTCTGTATTGTGTTTTTAAATGTAGCTGTGGTCTCCATGTGTTCCTTGCACAGTGCCAGTGTCTCCCTACATTTCTTTATTCACCTAATGAGAAGGCTTATGAACTCTGAAAGAGACTTAAATAATGCTTGTCTGAATTTGTATTTGACAGGGTTAGGTGTAATAAGAGTGGACAGCTCTGAAGTTTAAGTCAAGTGATCTGTTGGAGACAGAGGGTCTGTTCCCATGCAATGCCTTCCGATACTGTTCCCATACAGCATTTTTGCTTTTTGGCTAATTTTTGCCCTTTCTTGTATTGAGTGTTAGTATAATTTTGAATTGTCATGAATAACTGGGTAAAATAATAGTATGGTTGCCACTGTTAGTTAGTTATGCCATGAAGATGAAGCCTTGGTTATCAACCCAGGGATGGAGGCAGATGAGAGAGAAATGTCTTTCCTTGAGCTTTCTCTGCGATTAGTCATTTATCCATGCTGTGTTTGTTCTTCTAATCTCTCCATCGCTGTGAGATGGTGGGGGTGATGTTCTGGGTGCACTTCTAGCAGTTATGGACACTGACAGAAATTGGTGCTATCTCAGTCCTTGACATGACATCTGTGTATTTTCAATACCAAATTTACATTGGTGTTTCTTCTGCCATCTTTTACTGTGAATCATAGGTAATTTGCTCTTGTCTACAACTTTTCAAGTTCTTTGTTTTGCTTTCTTTCCTAGGATGATTTGTAACTGTTCTTGAGAGTTCTCATTTCATCTTCATCCCTCTGCCAGGGTTCACCTGCATTTTTCAAGATACATTGTCCTGTTACAAGCCAAATACTGTTTTGTAAATATATGGCTCAAAATGTATCAATATAAATTACTGTAATTAAAACTGAATCACTTGAGCCATCAATCAGGGCTTCTAATTTTGGCAAGTTTTGTGTAGCTACCATTCAAATTAATTTGTTTAATTCCATGCTGTAGGTCACTTGGTCTTGCAATGGCACCTCGTGTGAGATTTCTTCAAAAAGCTCGGAAACAACTGTGCGCGAATGGGGCAGCTGATGGGACAGATCACTTGGAGGAGACAGAGGAAAATAAAAGTACCCTCTCCTCAATAAAAGAGGAAGGAGTAGAGATATGTGGAACTGATTTCAGTGGAAAGGTGTTTGTTAACAAAACAAAGGAAAAGGAGGTAAAGAGAGAAACTGAGAAGTGTTCTGCTTCCAGTGAAGGTGCTGAAGAGAGTGGTGAGGCTGAGGATGAATTCAAAAAGGTAGCAGAGGAAGAGGAGGAGAAAAAAGTTCCTGCAACAAGCAGGGTACCAAACCCAGACACTGTGCAGTTCTTTGAAGATGACGATGATGAAGATGATGATACTAAAGATCTTGATTTGCTGACAGTGAAACGACGGAATGTGTTTGGTGTGGATGCTAAGGATGATGCAGCACAGGTAAGTGCACGCTACAGTAAGGCTCATGAATCTTAATGGTTTCATATTGGGCATACTCCAAGTAAGGAGAAGAGAGAAAATCCTACTCTTAGCAGAATACTCACTTGAAATCAGATGTGTTGTCCATATGTGTCAGAGGTCAGAATTGCTCCTGAAAGATGTGTAGTGTGACTTTACACTTTTATAATTTTATGTTGTTATCATAAAATTCTGTTTGCATAATAAATATCCTTGTAGTTGCTTTAATTTATGAATAATGTAATGTGAATACCTGGGAAATTTTGACAGTTTTAATTTTTATTACCTACTAATTTGCTTATATCTCTCTAAATAGCTGCCACTTTAAGTCATAATTTTGATGCTGTATTGCGGTGCCATAGCACAGGGAACCAAATTGCAATACATGATGATACAGATCATAACAAATTATCTTTGCAATAATATAACCTTCAAACCATGATTTTTACTTTCAATGGGACCTTTGCTATTAGGAGTTGAGTCAGTGCACTTCTTGGAAAGCATGGTTATAAAGGTATTCATTAAAGGTATTCATGTAGATCTTTCATTTCCTTGGTGAGTAGCTTTGTAGTTCAGGATTTCTCTGTAGTTGGTGTTTGGAGAAACGGTGCTTTTGTTTAAATAGTGTTATAGTAAAAGTGGGTCTGAGTTTTTTTAAAAACGTTTCTATAAAGCAGGTTTGGTATGTGCATAATTGTTAATTTTTTGTGTATTCTTGGCCATGTAGCAAATTTATGTAGTAAAGAGATCCAAGCAAAATAGCCATCTGTTTCAGCAAGATGGTTTTCTGAACTGGTATGCATGAAAGGGGAGCCTCTTGTTAAGTAAAGTATTTATTTTTTCAAATGGTATTTTAAATCTTTCTTTTTCTGGGCTGTTATTTAACAGCATAGGGCACTTGTCAGGAATTTATGCTAATCAGCCCACTAGCTGCATTTATGAGCAATCTATTTTTATCAGCTAACTTTGTTGAAGATGAGCAGTTGCACAGTAACCTACCACTGCCTCTGCTCTCCTCTGCTGTGAGGAGACTCTGCAGGTTGCCATCTTCTCCAAGAACTAGGGGAAGAGGATTCTCCTGGAATTACCTTTCTGTTCCTGTTATTCTAAGCCTGAGCTGTACTGCTCTGGCACAGGCACTGCCTGGCAGTAGCTGATATTTATTAATAAGTTTCAGTTTCCTGTAGAAAATAAATTGCTGTTTTAAAAATAAAGTGCAGGGAAAGACTGCTGCCTTAGTCAAAGAATGATATTCTTATATTGCTTTTGCAGTTTAACATGCTGAAATACACAGAAAATTTCATGTTGCTTGTCTATGTTGGGAAGTTGTTGTCAGGAAATGGTAGAAGAGAATGAACAACAGAAATTTTATGAAAAGTACCAATCTTTTGCATAGTAACTTGGAATCTCACTGGATAACCTTTTAACAGTTTTCCAGCATTAGTATTACAGGTTAGGTTGTGCTTGGGCAAGTCAGATGTTATTTTCTGTGATTCAGGGTTGATAAACTGCAGTAAGATTTGTGGTTTGTACTTGGTGTGCAAGTGAGAAAGACCTTGTATCATTTGAAACATCTTGTACATGGGGACATAATAATGAAATATTTATTCTTCTAAGCAGCTGTTAACAAAAAATCAAGAGTTTCAAGATCTATATCATTAGTAACTATAATGAAAATAATTTCCTACAGAAATGCCTACAGTAGTGCTTTTTGTAATTTTTAGAAAGTAGAAATGTAGAGCATACTATGCCTACCTGTAGGAATTAGTCTTAATGGATGCATATAGTACTGTGATATTTATTACCTTATATTACTGTGAAAATTGTTGCTAAATTGTAGAATGCTTTGAATGTAAGGATTCTAGTTTAAGTGGGAATAAGAAAATAGAGATTTCTATCCCTAGCTGTGGATTGTCCTTTAATGCTTTGGTATAAAAATGCATATAGTAGAAATCACATAGATTCAGGTACTGTACATCTTTTATTTCATGTGTATACCTCAGCACCACATTTTGTGGATTTTAGAATAAAATTGGCACCTTGCAACACTTTGTTTTTTTGTTTAATAATAAACACCCCTTGTTTATTTTCTGGATAAAAGCTTTGAAGTGATTATTACTGCATTAAGGTAGGTAGTTCATAGCTAAAGAATTGGAAAGAACTGATTCCTCTGGGGTGTGAGAAGCAGTGAGTAGCATGGGTGCACTTCTCCTGTTGCTGCGTGTTGCAGAGTCCTTCTAGGGAGGACTTGAGAACTAATTTGACCTGAGTGTGGTGGATCATTGGTGCATCCCTAGGATGAGGCAGTGCATTAATTAATAGTATCAAATGCTGCAGGGTCTAGGAGTATGAACACAGAGTGTATACTTGGCTAGATCAGTCAGGAGTTTTTTTTAAAATCTATTCTGTGTGCTAAGTAGGATAGGAGTCCTGTGGAAATGTTAGTATGTGATCTTCTAATTGGGAGATCATTGGTATGCCCACAAAGGCTGAATTCAGCTTGTATTTGTGCTTTTTATGTGTGGGATTGATTTGGTAATTTCACTATTCTTACATTATGCTTCTTGTTGATAGCGAAACAGTCCCACTGTGATTGTTGAGCTTCAGGAGGTTTTTGTAAATGGAAACTTTACATTCAGTTCTAATTTTTGAATAGCTGCTGTTAGAGGCACCATTAGTTCCTCATCCTTGTGTCTTCCCTAGCCCCTTCAGTGGAAGAAGGAGCAAGAGGAGGTGCTAGGCTGGACCCGAGTGGTGGTAGTGTCCTGACCTTTGCTGGCAGGTGGGGTGGGCTCATCCGTCTTTGTAAGAGGGGAAAGGAACTGGACACAAGGAGTGGGGATTAGTTAAACTGATCATGTGTGACACAGAACGTTTTGGTTTTGTTGAATGTCCATGGTACCCAGCCTAAGAGGGTAAGGCAGGTGGTGGTGTGAAGTGAGACCCATCCAATGTTAGTTCTTCTAATAGCACAGTTTGGGCTTGATTCCTCTCTTTCCTCTTGCCCTTTCTTACTGTGGCAATTGGCTGCGTGTGTACTCTGGTGTTTTGTGACAACAGATAAAAAAAATTCTCTTTTCTTCACTGCTGTATACAAGAAGAAACCTTGGCTAGGGTGAAAGACCTTGGCAGTTGTTATAATTTTGTTATGAGCTCCTGAGCTCATTTTTTTTTTTTTTTTTTTTTTTAAGAGGTAATCTCACTAGCTGCCTTATTTGAATTTTACTTAAATATGTCAAGATTTTTAGCCAGTGATATAGCTCATGGGACTTACTTAGAAGTACAATGTTCTTATGCATAAGAAGAAGGTCAGCTATATGCATAGAGCCATTACCAGCTATGCAGTATTTAGCTGTTGTGTTAATGTTATGGAAGTTACTTGTTTAAAATGCATTTAACAGTTTTAGCAGTATTGATGTTGCAAAGACTTAAGTACTCCCTGGTTACAAACTTTGTTTTTAATGCTAATTTTATGAAATTGGTTGTTGCATTTGGAAATGCAAAGGCTATACTTCTCAAACTTCAAGCATTATTTATTTTGAGAACTAAGATAAAGCCTATAGTATTTTTTTTTTTCTTGGTTTTGTTTATACTTTTAGTCATCTTATCAGATGTATCACATACTGACAGACTTGTCTTCTGCTGTCTAATTTTTTGATTTAGGGTAGAGAATAATAAACTACTGAGTTCTTAAGAATGCTGGGTCCCTCCCTGCTCCCTTATCTCTTCTTTTATGTTCAAGTGGGATATGTACTGGCTGCTTGGAACACTGTAGTAAACATAAGTGTACTGAGGGCTGCCTTCAATAGTACTTGCAGATTCCTTGGAGTCAGTGTGGACTCTTGAAGAACTTGCTGTTTGAATACTGTGGCTATGGAGGGAAATTCTTTCATGTGTCATGATCAGCTAGCTGGCTTGTCTTGTAATCCAAATAATATTAGATACAATGAAATTTTCTTCCACTTCTCAGACACACAAACACTGTAAACTGAGCACTGTAAACTGACATATTATGACCTGGATATGTACACATTTATAAAAGCAAGAAAGAACAGGCAAGGGTAAATCTCCCTAACTAAAGATGACAAGTGAGTCTATGCCAAGAAACAAGGAGTGATAGCTAGTTGTAATGTGGACTTTGTACACAGTGGATCAAGGAGAGATCATTTAATATGCACCAAAATGAGAGCATAGTCCTCTTGAGTTTTGTTCTGCAGTATTGAGAAGGAAGCCTCTTACCCTCCACAGAAATAAAAAGTATTTATCAGAGATGTGATTGATCTTGATTGCTTCCTTTGGCTTTTCCTTTTGAACGGGATTTCTCTCCATCTGTTCCATGTTATGAGAGAGGTTTTCTTCAGTCTTGTGTTTATATACTGTTTTTTTCTGTGTGAAGCATCTTCTCATTCCTCTTACCAGCTCTTACTGGCTCTCATTCTTTCATATTCATTCATTTTAAATGGGTGACTTTGTCTCTTTGATGCTTTTCAGGGAATGGCAAGATAGCAAATACCCAAAGGAGGGAAGAAGCAAGGGAGGAAGCTGACAGACTAGTAGCAGTGTTGTTTCCCCTAGGGATAGACTTCTTTGCTCCTGCTGTAGCAGTCACTAGTGTCCAAGAGAAGAAGGGTGCTTTGGGCAGCCTGCTTGCTATAAAAAAAGCATCATTCCTTGGAGACGTGTTGCAAAGCTAGCATTCTGGCAGAGGAAATGTAGAAGTTATTTATTTTTAAGTTAAATAAAAGTCAATACAATGATGCATTATGTACTATAAATTCTCCTTCCTACAGAATGCACGTGCCTCAGGTTCTCAGCCTAGTAACAGTATTTCTAGTTCAATTACAGTAAGTAATGATTTATATGAAGTACAGAATGTTTGCATACAAGTGAAGTAGGCCTACATTTGAATATTGGCCAAATTGCTTCAAGAATGCAGTATTTTGAAAAAAAATATCTTTTATCGACCGTGAATGGAAGTGAAA